CACCTTGTGCTAGAAAAGTTTCATAATAAAACAATGCCTTGGTGACTTCAGAAGTTATTAATGTTTCTGTTTTGTCTTGCTTGGTTTGAAGAGAGAACAAAGTTGGTGCGTAGGGTACTGTGAAGGATCTGGGAGGAATTGGAGTGGGGAACCATGATCAAAATGTATTGTATGAAAAAGTCTTTATCTATTGAAAAGTCTTAAATGTTGAAATTAACTAAGATTTTATAGTAGTTATAAGGTCCAGACAGATCTTGCTAAGACATCTAGGAGGTTGTGGAAGCCTATCAATAGTTGAGTTTTTAAAATTTTATACTTCTCAAGGATATTCACTAGCTCTGTGTAAGACTACTTTTGTGAAGTACATTGACCACAAAATTTGTAGTTGAAATTAATTGAGGTGAGTGGACCATTTTCGGTTTTACTATTTCAACCCTTAATAGTAATGGCCTTTTACATAAGAACTATTAAAATAATATTTTCAGTCATACTTTTCAAATTATTTTGTACTACAGTAGTCTGTTAGTGTTTTCTGCTGGTTAAATTATAGTATGAAACCCAGTGCTGTCCATCAACATTTATTAATAGGTATAAATGGTTACATTGGAAAAGGAGGAACAAAACATCTTACTTCTAAGTAGCCATACATTTTGTGGGAGGGGAGTAAATGCTTTATTTTTCTTCATACTGGAGCTAAAAACACACAAAATTATTATACAAGATTCTTTTTCACACATTTCAGGTTGACATTAACTTTGCACTTGTTACAGAAAATATTTAAATAAAGTAATTACTCAGGTTTTAGCTTTTAAAATAATCTGCAGAGTCAAAATGCCATTTGTAAAAACACCAAAATTTTTCTTTCATAAATTAAACTCAGGAGATATAACTATAACCTTACTTTTGACACATTTTCTATATGATGATGTGCTAGGGATCACTGACTACGCTGAGAAAATTTATCAAGCATAGCCTCTATTTTCTAGTTTTTCTCTCTCCTATCAACTGTTCAGTCTGTAGCTCCAAATTGCATTCACTATTTTGACTAGGAAGAAATTCTCTGTCCCCATTTTGTAAATTACTGAAGAAACAGAATCTGTAAGCAGTTAAAATATTTCTCTCTTCTTGATTATTACCTCTAGCATACACATGAAAAGCAATAAAAATACATCCATTTATTTTCCTTGGAAAGGTTGTACTTAGTCTTATCTGAACAGAAATGATCTGGACAAGGTCTGTTACTGCTGTACCACTGAAATAAGAGACCATGGTCATACTTTGTTTAAAGTGGGGGGATTCAAATAGCTTAGTCTAAACTTAGTACTTTAGGAAATTCGATTCCCTTTAACATTAAGTAAATTAATGAGGTTGATGGCCTGGGTTTAGAACTGTCCTTGTGTACCCACACTAGCATTGATTTTAGTGCCATTGCTTGTAGAACTGATGAAAAACATTTAAATTCTGACTGCTTCTCCTTCCTAAATATGTCAGGTACAGTTGTCACTTGTTTGACTCCAGGCAACTAAGTGCCTTGTTTGTGGAAGTGTGATGCTATGGGATTGATGAAGCTGTATTTTAAATGAAATGATTAGATCTTGTATGGAAGCACGTACTTTGGACATTGTATTTTTCAGATGACCTGAGAATTCAGCTAGCTGCTTTCGTATTTCTATTTGAGCCTCATCTCCTACATCTGCTGCTATGAATGTTGAGTCCAAAATTTTGCCTTCCATTTTTTCCTGTAGAATCTTCAGCAGTTTTTTGTTGTTTGTTACCTTTTTGTTATTTGTTTGCCCTTCCTGTTACTCCTTCTTGCTAACAACCCTCTTGTCAGAACCTGTACACAATAAAATGTTTCTTTTGGATTACCTAAGATTTATAACAACAGTTCTCAATTTGTTTAGATCTTAGGCCACAGGAAATCTTGATGTACTTCGTTGTTCAAACACCAGGATTTCAGGGGTTAAATCTTGATTGTCCCGTAATATGTGGAGATTCTCTAATTAAGTATGTTGTCCTTTAAATTTTTCTTAGGAGGCACTATATTTATTTTTGTAAAGCTACCACTACTCCAAGCATGCTGCAAGTTGATTTTAAGTTGCAAAGGGTAACAAAGCATCTTGGGAAGTAATAGGATGCATTTTGATTAACTGGTTCTAGGTATGTACACATTGAAAACTCACCAATGTGCCTGTTGTAATTAGAGTATTTGAATTGTTACTTTTTTTTAACTAAGTAAGTATTTTGGTTTGTTACCCTTCATTCAATCATTTTGAACCAAACTTATTTTTGAATATTTCTAAAAATTCACATCTCACAGAATCATGATTTTGTGTTATTAGGTTATTCGGAGAATGTCTAAAATATGGTAACTAATGGTAGCATTATTATAATATGGGTGCGGTGTAGCCTCTTTTCTTTCTTTTTTAATTTTTTTTTGCCCCCAAGACAGGGTTTCTCTGTGTGTCTGAGCTGTTCTGGAACTTGCTTTGTAGACCCGTGAGGCCTCGAATTCCGAGATCTGTCTGCTTGGGTTGGAATTAAAGGTGTGCACCCCACCACCGGGCAAGTACAGATATTTTTTACTTGTTTGGTGGATGTCATTCATTGGATGCATAAGTTCTGGCAAGTTTATAAAACTCATTTGCAATCATAGGTTTTGTGCTTACTATAAATTTATGGGACAAAATGTGATAGATATAATCTGGATTTCTTTCCATTTGTACCATCCCTAGTTTAGTTGTTCTTCATAAAGCTGTAGCAGACTCATTTCTTCGATAAAATTAAGTCAGTCCTCCTCCATATTTGGAAAGGCAATCTGTGACACTGTAGTTTCAAATGATAGTCCTAGTATGAATTTTGCCTGATGACTTAATGAAAGAAACTACTGATTTCTGAAATTAAACTCTAATGTTCAAAATTTGAAAAGAGATTTCCAGAATTTACACACGTTGTTGAATTTGAGTTTCTAGATTTTGTTGGAGAAAAGACTGATGTGAATATTTTCATCGAAAAATGATACTTTTGGGGGCATCACACCTAGGATCTTGCTCATGCTAGGTGAGAGCTCTTATTAACCACTCACCCAGCAATAAGACAGCACAGAGCTCTCTCTCTCTCTCTCTCTCTCTCTCTCTCTCTCTCTCTCTCTGTGTGTGTGTGTGTGTGTGTGTGTGTGTGTGTGTGTGTGTCTGTAAGGAAGTCAAAAAAGGGCTGGAATTCCTTGGAATTGTAGTTACTGTTGTGAGCTCCTGACATGACTGCTCGGAACTGAACTCTGCTCCTCTGGAAGACAAGCAATGCTCTTAACCATTGAGTCACCTCTACAGCCCCAGAAACCACATTTTTATTCAAACAATTTATCTCAATTTGATCATCTTAAGAGTTCAACAATTTGATGATTATTCTTATTTGTAGTGCTTAACCACACTTGTTTGTCCTTTGGGAGCCTTTGTTTCTTCTCTGTCACTTTTAAGAACCCTCATGAAATTCTCAAGTGCCCTTTCTGCCTTCTTTTTCAAGGGTCTCTTCTAAGTGTTGCACGAGACTGAAAATTTGTCTAGAGGGCTTCTCGATTGGAAGGCAGTTAGGGATACATTGAAGTTCGTTGGAAAAGACATAAAATTCCCAGCACATCTTAATCTGCTTGCCAAAAGGCACACTTTGATCTAGTCTTTCAAGTACTGATGAGAACAGTGTCATCTGTGTCATGTGTATGTGTGCATACCTGCATGCAATGAGGTAATGAGGGTAGAGCTCCTGTCCTGAAACCCACTAAAGTCTGCTGCACATGGGTGAAAAATGCCCTTCACTGGAGGCAGCTTCTACTTACTTATTGAGCTCTTTTTGCTTCTATTAAGAGATTTAGAGTGGAAGGAAGGCCATTTTAGAGGTGTCAGGAGAGGATAGATATGTAGGAGCTGATTACAAGGATCCAAAGTAGTCAGCTGTCAACAGGTGAATAAAAAAATATGGTATATACAATGGAGTTTCACCTATTCAAAATGAAATTAATATCATTGGCGTGGAAATGCATGGAACTGGAGATCATGTTAAGCAAGATAAACCTTGTTTGTGTGCACTTGTGTTTCTGAGATAAGGTCTTACTATATAGTCCAGGCTGCTCTCAAATTGGTTGATGACTTTGAGTTTAGAATCTTCCCCAGTTTCTGCACTTCACTGTACTTGACATGAAAAATGGAATAAGTACTTTAACAATGATATAATTTCTGATATAATTCAGACTTTTTTGTATGTTTACCTTAATTATTATTAAGAATACCTTAATTATGGTATCAGAAAAATAAACCCAAGGTACCTAGAAGTTAGCAGAAAGCTTACTGTAATGGAAGTAAGTCATGTTGTTATTGTTTCATGTAATTAATAAGTGGTTCTTGTATTTATAGTTATTTTTACTTTGCAACAGTGCTTTTTAAATTGACATTTAAGTGCAGTTTTGGAGTTCACACCATTTTAGACAAATGAAAACAATGGGTATCTGTATAGAGGGCATTTTATTTGAACATTTATATATAACATTTGTGTGCTAGACAATGTTTCTATAATCTAGAAAATTGGGGTTTATTGACCAACTTGGTGCCCTTTTCTGGATACAATGGTACCTCCTTTATTTTTTTAAACTTTTTTATTTATAAATATGAGGTTTGAAAAATTTGAAGTCAGTTGATCCTCTCTTCTACAGTTCTCTCTCTCTCTCTCTCTCTCTCTCTCTCTCTCTCTCTCTCTCTCTTCCTTATAAATTTTCTCTCAAGTTGTCTTTATACTTTCTCAGGCATGAAAAGACATACTTAAGAATTCTTTATTTCAAATCCTCTCCCTTTAAAATAGATTTATTATTTTTATTTTCTGTGCATATGTGTTTTGTCTGCATATAAGTCTGTGTATTATTTGTGTGCTTGCTGCCTTGGGGGTCCAGAAGAGGGCATCAGATACCCTGGAACTGGAGTTACAGATTGAGCTGCCCTGTGGGTGCTGGAAATAAAATCTGGGTCCTCTATTCGAGCAAGTGCTTTTAAGCACTGAGCCATCTCTCCAGCCCTTCACTTTTTTTTTATTGGTACCAGGAACAGAACTCAGGACTGACTATTAGGAAAGTTATCCATCCCTAAAATGTTTTTAAACTGTAACTGATTGACAGGGTAGAAAGATGTTAATAAAAATGTTGCTATCACTCACATGGAACTTCGGATAATGACTGTTTAGTTGCAGCCTTTATTCTAAATGAGGTCTCAAGATAGCTAGTGAAGTCTTAAGCCCAAGACACAAAGATGAAAACTTTAAGGAGATCTGCAATGGAATTTGTTCCCAAGAAATATGGCGCTAGTTTCTTTCAACAGGAGAGAATGGTTGTTGTAATGTTCTTTCTTTCTCTCCAGAACATAACTGAGAGAAGACTGCATCTGAACATAATTTCATGGCTTTCTACCGACTTGACCATTAGAACAGTTACACATAGATTGTTAATAGTCCATATATTTTTGAGAAAGATGTTTTTACTATATGCTTATATATTGGCTTTGTTGGTGGTTTTGTGAGTTATGGTTGTAGTCGGTTAATTTATCATTAAGAATAAATGCTACAGTTGGAAATGTTGAAATTACTTTAGAATTCTTCCTTTTAGAAAGTAATCTGTCTCAGTATTGGAACTATTTGTAATAGTCCCTCAGTAAAGTAGGGCAGCAGTTGGATTTGAATATATGAGCACTTCAGATAAGACTAAGATTATTTTGGAACAGACCCTTGCCAAATGTGTGTTGGTTCATTTTGCTCTCATAATTCTTTTTTCTGTGTATCTGAGCTGTATTCAGCACAACTTCCTACCTCCCTTGTCCATGATTTGGCTCATTTCCACAAGAAACAGTTTTACCATCATTCACCAATACTAGGGATAGAGGTGGAAAATCAGTTTAACATAAACTACACTGTCAAAAGCAAGTTTACAGACACATTTACATTAACGGTTCCTCATTTCACATCCAGCAGACATTACACAAGAATATAGATGGATTCTTGTTGGTGTTGACATTTAAAAAGAACAGGTGATGCCCAATGAACAGTTTTACTTTTCTACCATATAAATTGTTAATGTCCACAAGCAACACATATGATGGTAAAACTATGCTTGCTCGGCAGGCCATTGCTTAGTGGATATCAATCCTAAAATGGCTACCATATTCATCCTAACTTCGCTTTAACTTGTGTTGTAATTAGGTACTCCTGGACTATGGGAAAGAGTTTGAATGTGTAAATGTAGCTTTCTTTGAAGGCAGAATTGAGTTCTACGAATCCACTAGGATTATTACATTATATCTCTAACAGTTCACACATGCAGATTCCACTGTCCCCCAGTGGATATTGCAGCTGCAACCTGAATTAGGTTATCTGAACCTAAAATTGTGTCTGCTAGGTTTTCTTTCCAGAAAGCAATTAATTAAATTGAGGTGCTCTTTTCCCCCCTATATTTAAACACCTCAGTAAAATGTCATTTTTTCTGATAAAAAATATTTCAAATCCAGTCTTTAATCTTAGAAATGCCTTTATATCAATGATGATTAAAACTATCCACAGTAGATAGGACCCTATAAATATACCAGCTAATTATATTTTTTCTTGCCAATGTTTGAGCTGTAGTAACTATTGGTTAGAATGCAGTAGAAGATTTTTTTGGAAAAAAGTACACATCCTAAATACTAACTTTGATACTCTCAAAATTTAAAGTATATAAGTTAACCAAAATATACAAACACGGGAAAGCAAAGCAGCTAAATTATTAGCTATAACACACGTTGTAAATATCTCATTGGCACACATTAAGAAACTAACACATCTTTAAGAAACGAAACCTCAACAATTCCCACAATTAGAAGTTATAGTGTCTTAAAACAAAACAGAAAGGCCAGGTCTACCTAGAAACCACAAGCTGACAATTCTTTGGAGTCCAGTCTCCCTTTCATGCTGTTCATTGAACCAGCATGGGGCAGCGTGTAGCACTGAAGAGCAACAAAGACAGGCAGATTTATTTGCCTTATCTGATAGCTGGGAGGGACTGCGGACCATATCCCTCAGCTCTGTGGGGAGATGGGTGTGAGATCCTGAGGAAAGTCAGGAATCTGTGCGGCAGCTATGGTAGCAAAGTGGCACCAGGAGCTTCAACGAGGCAAAGGTAAGAACAGCAAAGCAAAGGGATTAAGCACCCAACTGCACCTCTGCTGACTGGGGCTATTCCCCTTCCGTTGGTTTCGACATGAATCTAGTATTTATAAATATAAAAAGGCAAATTATAATAACAGTAAAACAGAACATAAAGAATGTGGCTATAAAAGACGGAAAATAATAAGAGTTCCACTGCTTGGCTGGGGGACCATGAGGGAACTGTATTTGCTGTCACCTCTGAGAATGAGGAATTACAAGTGTTCTCTTGAATTCCAGAACAGATGACGGGTGGCTTGACTTAGAGCCTAGTTGTAACTTGTTCTTCCTGTCCATCACCCCATTTGTGCATGAGCAAGTCACAAGCCTCTCCCCAAGTTTCAAATACATCCTCTGATGAGTCTAAAAGTTTAGAATTTGAAGAGCAGATGCTGGATACACAGTGAAGAGAGCTGGAACAGGCTAGGGGGCATTCACTGCTCCGAGCAGCACCCCGGATTTCACCTAACTCTACTTCACTGAGGTTCATTTCGCTTTTAGAACAGGCCTCTGCCTTCCCTTTCTCCATCTGAGAATATTCGATGTCCTGCCACATATAATGCTGCTGTGCAATGCCATCGGAGATGGTGTACATTGGCTCTGAAGTGGGTTCAGAGGTCTGGCCACTAAACTTGGAGAATAGGAGACCTAGTTTCTTGAAAGAGGGGCCCATGAAAGACCGTTTGCTTGATGACTCTGCTTTTGACTTCTCGTGAGTACCGCTGGCTCTTGGCATGGTTCTGATGAGAGGTGCCCCGTGGCAGGCCTTTTTCTTGCAGCCTAAATTGAAAGAGACGCTCTTAGACTTGGCCCGTGCCCCACCACTGCCATCATTGGTATCATCCCTTTGAGAGAATTCAGCACTGCTAGTGGAAAAGCTTCTTCTTGGTTGTTTTCTGTTTCCCAAGAGGTCAAGTACTTCATATCGAAAGCTTGAGATGTCCTGTTTTAATTCCTAGCAAAAGAAAGGAGACATGTTTTGTTAGAAAAAAAGAGAAGGTCTTCAAAGAAGACACTTGGAATTTTGGATAGACTGTTTTACATAGTAATAAACCACGAAGCACACATTATACTGTAAAAATCTTTCATTCCAGCACAGAAAGACTCCTGTGATCATTGGAGAAACTACAGTGGGTAAGGTTGATTTCAGAACCTGTGGAACAGGAACATAAACTAATCCCTAACAAAGTAATAACTGGGCTGGAAAAATGGCTTAGCAGTTAGGAGCACTGGTTCCTCTCCCAGATGACCTGGGTTCAATTTTCAGCATCCACATGGCATCTCACAACCATCTGTAACTCCAGTTCTTAGGGGATCCAACAACGCCCTCTCCTGGCCTTTACCTGCATGAGGTGTTCTCATGGTGCACATACATATATGCAGACAGATGCACATATAGGCAAAACACTCTCACACACAAGATGTCAAAAATAAAGTGGCTGCTGACAAGTTACTTAATGAGAATCCTGGCTCTCCTGAGTGAAGTAAAAGGACAGCTGAAGAAGAGAAAACCTTTAGGATCCAGGAAGGAAACTGAAGAAATGAAGTATCAGGTGATGAGACAGCTGCCTGTATACTGTTAACTTTTTCCTTTAGAGGTTTTCAAAGTTTAAATCTGATCAAGTCATCCTTCTGCTTAAAATGTCTTGGTAACATCTCTTGTCTTAGGAAACACTATAAATACTGTATCATGGACTACAGGACTTTTCTGTACCTGGTACCTCTCCATCTCCATTTTCCTTTTTCCAACTCCCCTAGCCCCTATACTCATGAACTGACATGCAATCATAACTTAGCAAAGTGATTGGCACATTGGTCCTCAACACCTAAGTTCCATCTGTGGATTAAGATAATAGAATTCCTGGGTGCCTTTCAGGGATGTTATATATCTGTGTGTGCATGTGTCGTGTATCCTGGGATAGGGTTTTTTATTCTAGGCTCTACTGATATGTCTGGCAGGATAGTTTTTTTGTTTGTTTGTTTGTTTGAGACAGGGTTTCTCTGTGTAGCTTTGGATCCTGTCTTGGTACTAACTTTTATAGACCAGGCTGGCCTCGAACTCACAGAGATCTGCCTGCCTCTGCCTCCCAAGTGCTGGGATTAATGGTGTGCACCATACCACCCAGATTGTTAGGATAGTTTTCTATGATGGAAAGCTATCTTGTTAATTGTGGGATTGTTAGTAGCAACCCTCTTTGTACTTACTAGATGCCAGTATGACAACTTAAAACATTTCCAGACAGCCAAATGTGCCCTAAGTACAGAACTGCCCCTGTGTGAGAATCACTCTTTTAGGTTGATACCAACAGTGGGAAAATTCTACTATGTAATTGTAGTTTCTTTAGGCTTAAAATTTAAAAATACACATTCTGGATTTAATTGCTGATCTTTTAAAGAAGGCATTTAAGGTCTCCAGGCGTTTTCTCTTTGCTGCCTTATCCCTTAGCATGCATTCTTGCTATATCAGTTAAGTAAGTTATTCTCACCCTGATAATATCAAAGGAAAGAACAGGATCATTTTGGTCATAAAACTGAATGTGACAGACATTGATAAAAAGCTCTCGACCCCAAATTGTGTGGGGCCCCAATCTGAGACAAAAAATTATAGGCAATAGTGACTATGAGAAGAATGAACCTCTCCCAGAGATAAGTTCCCTAATTGGTTGTTCAGTGTAAAGCGATCAGCACTGAAACCATATAAATATAATAACAAAAGTACAAAATGATGTGGGATGTACTTCTGTGTATATGTGTTGCTTTTATTGGTTAATGAATAATGCTGTTTTGGTCAATGGCTTAACAGAGTAAAGCCAGGCAGGAAAACCAAACAGAGATATAGAGACAGTAGGTGGAGTCAAGGAGATGCCATGTAGTTGCTGAAGAAGAAAGATGCCAGAACCTTTCCAGTAAGACACAGTCTCGTGGTGATACACAGATTAATAGAGATGGGTTAGTTTAAGATGTAAGAACCAGCTAGGAATATGCTTAAGCCTTTGGCCAAAGAGTGTTGTAATTAATATAGTTTTGTGTGATTATTCAGATCTGGGCATTCAGAAAACAAAAGCACAGTCTCTGTTTACACTCAAAAAGTTGTATGTATGTGTGTGTATATATGTATATATACATATATATGTATGTATTTGTGCATGCTCACACACATACCACATGTATGAAACAAAAAAAGAAGCTATGAACTAGAGAGTTGGGAATATGGGAGAGATATGAAGGTGTGTAGCTGGGAGGAGCAGGAGGAAGGATGAAAAGTAATATTCTATTTCAATTACAAGCATATTTTTTAGAAAAGGAAAAATTCTCTCCACTTACTGGATGACAGATAATTCCAAGATAGAATAAGAATTGCAGGGACTAGAGACATGGCTCAGTGGTTAAGAGAACTGTGCTCTTCCAGAGGACCTAGGTTCAGTTCCCACTATCCACATGGTGGTTCTCAACAACCTGTGTAACACCACTCCCAGGGGGCAATCTGACACCTAGACAACAAATGTGCAGGCAACACACACATGCATGCGCGCACACACACACAAAACTGATAAACTCAATTTTTTTAAAAAAATTATAAAGAATAATTTTTAGAAGAATAAGACTTGTAATTGAGTTTTTCTTGCACTATTTGAAGATATAGGAGGAGAAAGAGAGAGAGAGAGAGAGAGATTTTCCCACTTCATGATTAAATTACCTTAAAGTTTTCTTCTGTTAGTCCCTCATTTGTTTTGGAGTTTCTTATCATTGCAGCCACATATCTCTTGACTAAATTTCTGATAACTTCCTGGAATTGAAAAAGCATGAAGAGGTATTCAGTTTCCTTTTCAGACTATCAGGTAAATAAGGAATCCGCGCAGAAGACTCACTTAGATCATCTTTGCCATAGGAAATCTTCACTGTATCTAACAGTTTTCTGCCAAAAAAACTTAAGTTCATTGAGTTACTAAGTAATTGCATTTTTTAATTTTGGTGACAGAGTGTGCCAGTTACCATTAAATTTACGCTACAGGAAGAATTTCTACTCAAGTATAAAATAAGCATGTAGTGCGTGTGTGTGTGTGTGTGTGTGTGTGTGTGTGTGTGTGTGTGTATGATGAAAGTATTATAGCCTTTGAATGCTCATATTGAATTCAATATCCATTCCTCTGGGATAAATTAAACTTTACTACTTTTAGTGAAATAGGGGGTTTTTCTCTTCATAAAGTTGGGAGTCACTAAGTGAGTTAGTAATTTTTTTGTTTGTTTTGTGTGTTTTGAGACAGTTTTTTTTTCTTTTCTTTTTTTTTTTTTTTCTGTGTAGCCTGGGCTATGCTGAAACTCATTCCGCAGACCAGCCTGGCCTGGAACTCACAGAGATCTGCCTACCTCTGTTCCCCAAGTGCCAGAATTAAAGGCATGTGCCATCACCACCTATCACGAGCTAGTACTTTTATGATCAAGATTTTTTTTTTTTATAGAATCAACCTACACTTCACTTTTACAGGGAATGCCTCTGTTAGCCTGAGGTTTAATGGAACACACATGGCTGCCAGGTTGGTACTGACGATAGCTGCTGCTTACTGCAATGTGCCAGGTGCCATCCCCACTGAATTTCCCCAGCTCCATAATTTAGTCTTTACTGTTAATCCTGGTTTACATCCCCACTGAATTTTCGCCACCCTGTAATTTAGCTTTTATTTTTCCTCCTGGTTTACAAGTTAAGAAGCCGAGGCTTAGTGTTGTTAACTGGCGTCTTCAGGATCACAGTGCAAGGCAATGTAAAAATTAGATTTCAGTTCTACTTCAAGCTGATTCTAGAGTCTATAGTAATCGTTAGCAATGCTGTAGCTACCGTTTCTGCTACTCACTGAACTTCAATAAGATGTCCTGTTAATGATGTTTGAAGCAGAAAGCGAAGGCGATGAATCTTGCCTCAGTGTCAGCATTTTCTAGCATGATTAGAGATGGCGGCAGACATAGTGAGCGAAGGGTCACCTGTGCAACACTGTACTTTGTGTTGCACATTGCTATTTGTGCCTAAGACGAATAAAATTTGGGAAGCCACTTGTGGAATAAGGTTGAGTTTCCTTTCCTTTAAACTTTGTAGGATCTTTTTCTGTCTGGGTTTCTTAAGATAAAGTTCCATGTAACTCAAGATGACCTTTAAAATTGTTACATAGTTGAGAATAACCTTGAACTTCTGATCTTTTTGCCCCCATCACACTCAGTTTAAGTGGCATTGGAGATCATATTCCGGGCCTCATGTGTGGTAGGCAATCAGTCTGCCACCTGAGATATGTCCCCTACTTTGCATTTATTTTGATCTAGGATGTTAAATATAGGCTCTTATCTGTGAATTTCAAAGATCACATTCCATAAATATCTCACGTATCGGTGTGCTTAGTTGCCTTCTGCTTGGTCCCATCAGAAGCACATATCTGCTCCTTTGATTAAAGTCATGTTTATAATTTAGAAAGATCTGTGACCTGATCAAAGATTTTACTTCACTGAAGTTGCTCATAATTTCCTCCTATTCTGTATTTGCTACTTATTGTGTATTCCCATTGCTGTATGTGCTTTTTGTTCGCAGTAAGTTTTATCCATCTAGTCAGTTCATTTTATTAGCTTTAATGAAGTAATATCTTCCATCCCTGAAAGATGATAGGCTTCTAAGTTGCCTTGCTTTTCCACTATAATTTCTTTAATGTGTGTCTTAGTGCGTTGTGTACAACAGGGACTCATTTACTCATTGACCGAGCAACTACTCATCTGCTGCTTAATCTCAAGGAAGAGAGCTTTCTAAGGTATGGCTGACTCACGTCCATACGAGGTAGTGTTAAAGGGATACCAACAGAGTTATCAGGCAGTTGACTCCGACCTGATGAATTACTTCAGTCTTGAGTGAATTAGAGTCTTTCCAGGGCTCCTACCCAAGTTAAATCTAGACATAGCTAGAATAGAGTTTGCTTCTCTGCCCCACAGAACTGATCAAGAACTATTGTGTTTAGCCCCCATGGGTAAGCAGTACCTGATAATGTTGATTTTGGATCAGACTATCAGCATGGCGTTCCTGTAATTCAAAATGGACAGAGAGGTTTCCATCAGTTGGCTAGCACTTACCCATTTACCCACCCCAAGGAGTTAGTAAATATTAGGATTGTAGAATGACACAATAGCTTCTGTCTGAGAGATAGCAAGAACTTTAGTTGGAGTTATTTTATAACATTTACGGTAGGAACTGTCATAAAGAAGAGAAAGGAAGAAAACAATCTCTTGTAAAAAGAGACAGATTTTTTTTTTCTTACTGTGAAGCTTCGCAAGTTGTGTCTCCTTCGTCTTCCATCAGGGTCTCTTTTCGGACAGAAGGTGTTATTGAACCAGTTGCCAAGATAGAGAAATGATTTGGGACTGGGGATAATGTTGAAAGGAGGTGGCAAGGTACCACCTTCATCAAAGTAACTCATCCAGAGCTTCGTTCTTGCAAACTTCCACTCAATGTCAGCATGATCCTATGAAAGACACAAATGCAAGTTGGGAGAGACAGGAAACTGGAAAATACATACATGTCTAATTTTAGCCCCTGTAGTTGCTTCTGTAGAGGACAGCCCAGATGTAGCTATATAAGCTTGAATCACATATACCCTGTAAGTGCAAATCACATTGATCTGGCAATCCACTTTGAGAAATAAATATTGCTGGGTTTGGTAGTACATGCCTCTAAACCCATCTACTCAGGGAATTGAGGCAGGAGGATCATGAGTTTGAGATTGGCCTGAGCTGTATCCTACCTTAAAATACAAGAAAAGGTGGTAGGGGTATGACTCCGTGGTAGAGCATTTGTTTAGTGTGTATGAAACCCTAGGTTCAATTACTAGAAGTGAAAAATCAAAAAACAAGAAGGTAGAAGAATGAAGAATGGCATAGATGGAAGAGATTGCAGAAAGATTATACACAGTGTTCTTCAGTATAATATAGTATACTATAGTATAGTGTAGTGTAGTATAGTAATAAAAAATGACTGTAAACAACCTAAATATTCAATAGTAGAAGGCTATTTAAATAAATTATATTTCAACAACAAAGTTACTTACAATCTAATTTTAAAATATAGGTTGTACTTTATGTATAGAATATATATGAATATATGCATCCGTTGAAGATCCTGAGTGTAAAATAATATATATTGTGAGCAAAGATCTCACTTAATTCAACTGAAAAATTACATATTTACATGTTCTAGGCAGGTGTGTATATACCAAACTACAAATCATGGTTATTTTCAAGAGGTAAAGATGGGGTTAAGGAAGCTTTTTTAGTTTATATTATTGGGAGGTTCATGAGAGAACTGGATATTTTTATTGTTCACCAACTAAAGTCATTAGCAAATGGGAAAAAAAAATTTTCCATCTCCAACTGAAGGGTCTTCTAAAATTCTTTAGGACAGCAAGGTATCTGTATGTCACTTTTTCCCAAACCAAATTCTCTGTCATTGCATTTTAGAACCAGCCTCAAGTTGACAGTTGTATGCATGTTGTGAAATGTGTGCATGTGCTCTTGCACATGTGTGTGCACATGTGCACACATACCCCACACCCTTAAATAAATGAATAAGTGAACACAAAAAGACCAGAATCTCTATAAATAGATATTTTTCAAGGAGCTGCTGGGCAGATCAAATGGGCTATCTGAAGAGGAATTCCAGACCTATTCCACTGACTTGTGCAGATTTCAGGGTGTTATTTTACATATACGGTGGACTTCTTGCTTTCAAAGCTAGGGGATGATCTGTGCTATTATCAGCAAAAGGCAGCATGACTTTGAGTTTAAAATAAGCTGAAATGATATGATGGTCAAATAGAATAAAGGATCCTCGATTATCTGTAAAGGACATGCTTGAGATAGAAAGGGAACTCTGACAAAGAGGAACTCTAAGTTAGTAACTACCAACATTAAACTTCTCATCTGTGTTATGGTCATAGAATATGTGCCACAGCGTTTTTGAACAAAATGTCATGATATTTGCAACTTTGGAATTTTTAAAACACATTTTAAGGCCTTTCCATTTATACAATATGTAAATCTTTATTTATTTCAAGGACCATGGTAGTTTATAATTGAGCATTCATACCCATTAACTTTGATCTTAAAATAATGTTAGATAAAGAGTTCCTATTGTAGGGGTTGGGATATATGTAATAGCACACATACTTAACTTCTAAAGGCTTTGCATTCCAGCATTTCCACCAAAACACAACAAGGCAAAACATGGTTCATCTGGTATATGAAGTAATGGATTCTCTAAAGTATTTTTCTGAGATAGGGACTCACTTGTGGCGTATTAGTTAAAGATGTGTTACATTTATTTCTGTTGTGGAACATATGTTTAATGATGCAAAGATGTGATGCATTCTTTATGTTGCATTTGTTTAACTCAATGAAGCTGTGTTACTTTGCCTGTCTAAAACAGCTGATTGGACTATAAGGAGCTAAATAGTCAATATCTAGGTAGGAGAAAAGGTAGGTGGGGCTGGAAGGCAGAGAGAATATATTGGAGAAGATATCTGGGAAGAGATGGAGGATCAAGAAAAGGAGAAGGAGAAGAGGACATTGGGGGACCAGTCACCCAGATACACAGTAAGTCACGGAGTAAGAAGTAAAGAAAGGCATATGGAGTAGAGAAAGATAAAAGCCAAAAGGCAAGAAGTAGAAGGGATAATGTAAGAAAAACTGGCTAGAAACAAGCCAAACTAAGGCCAGGGATTCATAACAAAGAATAAGTCTCCATGTGATTATTTGGGAGCTGGGTGGTGGACCCCCCCCCAATAGTAAAGAGTAGAAAAAGAAAAAAAAAACCAACTACACTCACTAAATAGTCCTGTCTGCCCTGGAACTCTTTATGTAAACCAGGCTATCCTTGAATTCGTAGAGATATTCCTGCCTATGTCCCTTTATACTGGGATTAAAGATAAGTACCTCCACACTCAGCTTAAAATAAGCTTTACAAATGTTTAATTAACAAATAGAAGTTCCATATTTTCCTGGACTAAACCATGATGTTTTGATATATGTATGCATTGTGATATGATTTTATAAAACTAATTAGCATATCAATCACTTCACATAGTCAACAAATGTGGTGAGAACATTTAAGATGCCCCCAATCTAATGATTGTAAACTGACTATGCTATATAGCACAAGAAAACAGAAAATTAAAATTGCCTATGAAATTAAGGCTGCTACTTAGATATCCCTTGAAGAAATCTTTTTTCCTAGATTATCTAGGTGGGTTAAGTATAATCATAAATTTGCTTTTTAGTGAAAGGAGACAGAGAGGGAATGACAAATTGGTAAGATAAGAGAGACTCAGCTAGCTATTCTTGTCCTTAAAGTAGAAAGAATGGTGTTAACCAAAGAATTCAAGAAGTTTCGAGAAGCTTAAAAAGAGACATGGACATGGATTTTTCTGAGCCTTTAGTCAACACCCTTATTTTATTTTATTTATTTTGCTTCAAGCCAGATGACTATTTCATTTTACATAGCCTCTCTGCCACATTTTAAGTTGCTTTTTATTGAGCTCTACAATCTTTTTTGCTCTCCTCCCTGCCTCTCCCCTCCCCTCCAATCCTCCCCCAGGGTCCCCATGCTCCCAAATTACTCAGGAGATCTTGTCTTTTTCTACTTCCCATGTAGATTAGATCCATGTATGTCTCTCTTAGGGTCCTCATTGTTGTCTAGGTTCTCTGGGATTGTGATTTGTAGGCTGGTTTTCTGTGCTTTATGTTTAAAACCCACTTATGAGTGAATAATATGATAATTGTCTTTCTGGGTTACCTCACTCAAAATTTGTTTTCTAGCTCCATCCATTTGCCTGAAAATTTCAAGATGTTGTTATTTTTTTTTTTCTGCTGTGTAATACTCAGTTGTGTAAATGTTCCACATTTTCCTATCCATTCTTCAGTAGAGGGGCATTTAGGTTGTTTCCAGGTTCTGGCTATGACAAGCAATGCTGCTATGAACATAGTTGAGCACATGTCATTGTGGCATGATTGAGCATCCTTTGGATATATATGCAAAAGTGGTATTACTGGGTCTTGAGGAAGGTTGTTTCCTAATTTTCTGAGAAATCGCCACACTGACATCCAAAGGGGCTGTACCAGCTTGCACTCCCACCAGCAATGCAGAAGTGTTCCCTTTTCCCCACAACCTCTCCAGCATAACTTGTCTTCGTGTTTTTGATCTTGATCATTCTTACAGGTGTAAGATGGAATCTCAGAGTTGTTTTGATTTGCATTTTTCTGATGACTAAGGATGTTGAACATTTCCTTAAGCATCTTTCAGCCATTTTAGATTCCTCTGTTGAGAGTTCTCTGTTTAGGTCTGTACTCCATTTTTTTTATTGGATTACTTGTTCTTTTGATGATCAATTTCTTGAGTTCTTTGTATATTTTGGAGATCAGACCTCTGTCTGATGTGGGGCTGATGAAGATCTTTTCCTATTCTGTAGGTTGTTGCTTTGACCATATCCTTTGCTTTACAGAAGCTTTTCAGTTTTATTAATTGGTTCTCTTAGTGTCTGTGCTACTGTGGTTATATTTAGTAAGTGGTCTTCTGTGCCAGTGCATTCAAGTGTACTTCCCACTTTCTCGTCTGTGAGGTTCAGTGTGGCTGACTTTATGTTGATGTCTTTGATCCATTTGGACTTGAGTTTTGTGTGTGGTGATAGATATGGCTCTATTTTCATTCTTCTACGTGTTAATATCCAGTTATGCCAGTACCACTTGTTAAATATGCTCTCTTTTCTCATTTTCTATTTTTTGCTTCTTTGTCAAATATCAGGTGTTCAAAGGTGTGTGGATTAATATCTGGGTCTTCTATTCGGTTCCATTGGTCCTCCTATCTGTTTTTATGCCAGTACCAGGCTGTTTTCAGTACTGTAGCTCTGTAGTAGGGTTTAAAGTCAGGGATTGTGATGCCTCCAGAAATTCTTTTATTGTACAGAGTTGTTTTGGCCATCCTGGGTTTTTTTGTTCTTCCATATGAAGTTGAGTACTGTTCTTTCGAGGTCAGTGAAGAATTTTGCTGGAAATTGCATTGAATCTGTAGATTGCTTTTGCTATTTTTACTTTGTTAATTCTGTCTACCCAAGAGCATGGGATATCTTTCCACTTTCTGGTGTCTTCTTCAATTTCTTTCCTCAAAGATTTAAAGTTCTTGTTATACAAGTCTTACACTTTTTTGGTTAGAGTTACTCTGAGATATTTTATGCTATTTGTGGCTATTGTGAAGGGTGATGTTTCTTTGATTTCTTTCTCAGCCCATTTATTATCTGTGTACAGAGGGGCTACTAATTTTTAATAGTTAATCTTGGATCCTGCTACATTACTGAAAGTGTTTATGAGTTACAGACGTTCCTTGGTAGAATTTTTAGGGTTGCTTATATAAACTATCATCTCATCAGCAGATTGTCAGAGTTTGACTTCTTCTTTTCTGATTTGTATCTCCCTGATC